TGTACTTATCAGTTTCCATTACTGTTTAGAAGTTAGACGAAATTGTGCATTATTCCTCATACTACTTATTATCAATAGGCATATTTGTACTGAATGAATTTTTTGCTTCTGTTATTATTTAAAGAAATTCAGAAAATTACTGAAGTAAGACTATGCATAAACGACAAAATGTAATCAATTATTAAGTACCACAAAAGTTTTCAGGAGAGCCTATCAAATTTCAGAATACTGTAGATGCTAATACATTTCACTTTCTGGGTAAACACGACAAGACGGACGTTATAAAAATAACCAACCAACAACAACAGCAGCAGTAACATCCAGCGCCAATCAACATCAACGGGAGGGATTTGAAAAAGGTTACTTCATTCACTGATCTAGGGAGCATTGTCTCAACTACAGGAGGAACGGACGAGGATGTCAAATCGAGAATCGGGAAGGCGAGAAACACATTCATCAACCTGAAACCAATCTGGAAATCTTCGTCACTCAGCATCACTCAACAACGAAATTCGGATTTTCAATACAAACGTCAAGTCACTTCTTCTATACGGATCAGAAACTTGGCGGGTCACAAAGAATATTTCCAACAGCCTGTTGCAGACCTTTACCAACAACTGTCTTCGCTCTATACTCAAGATCAGATGGCCGGAAAGAACAAGAACCAACAAGAAACTATGGGAACAAACAAAACAAGAACCAATCGCCCAACAAATATGCAGGAGAAAGTGGAGATGGATTGGACACTCGCTGAGCTGAGGAGGCCGCTGGGTGACATCGCGCGTCAGGCCAACGCTCGAGTGGAAGCCGAAAGGGAAGCGGCGAGTGGTTCGTCGGTGCAAGGGTGACATGGAGGAGATCGTGTGAAGAGGAGTTGAAACAGTATGGACTAACATGGATGCAGGTGAAAAGTACAGCAGAAGCAAGTGGAGACGTGCAGTTGAAGCCCTATGTTCCACTAGGAACCCAAGGGAACAATAATAATCTGGGTAAACACTGACACTTGCGTTCTTTTAAAGATTACCTAAAAGCTTCAGTGTAGATTTCACCAAGAACCAACATCAGTTTGTGAAGCATTGAAAACCAAGGGGTACTGGAGGAAACAGCTCTCCAGGGTTTGCTGGTTTTCACTTATCTCTAGCCGATTTTGATTCGTAACGAAATCTACGATGGAATCCTCAGGAATTCTATGATCTAAATATCAGTCGCCAGCTCATTGATGGCTACTGGATAGATGTCATGAGGCTGTACTGAGAAATCGTGATCAGTTCACTATGTTAAGGCAAGGTGGATGCTAATCGAAGGTATTGGTTGAGAGTAGCGCTATATCCCGGGCCGTTTGATTCCTGTCCAAGTGGTTGAATAGTCAATGTGCTTAGTCTCGTAACCTGAAGGTGCGGGGTTCGATCCCTGGTGGTGGAGTCCTGGCTCGGCACTTCTGAAGATTACTTTCATTGGACACTAGCCAGTAACTAGTGTGATGTGTTTAGTCCTTTCTTTGCAATGTGGCCACCATTCTAGGTAGCTCGCCAGCACGGTCTAAGGCTTCCTGCCGATTGCTCCAACATCTATACTGATGAAGAGTCGTAAATGAGGACAAAACAGGTATCAAGTACTCTCTCTCTGGTTCCCAATGATATTTAACTAATGTCGGTTAGTGACGAAATCTAAGTACTTAAAAGTTATTTCAAGTAGATTGCATAGTAATCAGAAAGCTGTTAGTTTGTGAAATTTCAGTACAAATGACTTTTAGATGCTGGCTTTTGTATTGTCAAGTCTTTGAGTGCATTTTTCTAGTGTTTACTGATCCTACGTCCATGACTAACAACTACTATATAAGGGATTCTGTGAACTCAGCATTGCCTAGCCTACAAGCTGAGCACGTTAATAATGAGTGAGCTTTTCTTGTCAGAATTCAATGAACCATAAGTTTAAACTTCTGTCAGTTGGCAGTATTGCGTTAAAATCCTCTAATCTTATCGGTGAATATTTCTCTTCACATATGACTTGGTTAGCCATGCTGGTCATTATTTTTTCGTTAGAACTCCGTGAAAACAACATTTTTCAAGTTAGTCACTAATGAGTAGTAAGTGAATTAATATTCAGAAATTTCGATTTGGAAGAGCTGAAATAATTTTAAGGAAGACTTGGTAATCAGGTCAGAATACGCTGATATTCAGATCTAGTTTTTTTTGCATAACCTGTATAACTAACTATCCGATCTAGGAACGTTTTGTACAGATGTACTAAATAAGTTGAACTTAAATACAGGATATGCATAATCTCCTATCTTTGTTAAGACATCTGCAAATAACTAAAAAAAAGAATTTTCAACTGTCACCATCAAAATGTTTACCTCTTATTGATTTTATTGCCCAAATATAAAGAAAAAGCTGTAAAAATCCATAGGCAAGGATATGGTATGGAAGCCAAAAGAGACGTTGGGTACTAATATTACTGAACAACAATAAAATTTGTAGAAATACTTTTTTGAAACATGCTCGAAGCATCTGCTCAAGAAGCCGACATGTCAACCTGAGACCGAGCACTTCGGTTCAATCAATCGACGGGAAAAACCTAAAATTCAATTAAATCAATATGACCCGTTGCAGAAGAGGTGGCTCTCGTGGCCCAAGTGGTCTAGTGGATAACGCTTTGGCGTTGGAAACTATGGGCACTGGGTTCGAGCCTCGGTGGGAACATCATCACTCACTGAGAAATGCAGGTACATCCAGGTGACGAGTCCCAAATAGGACGAAATGCGCATCTTGGATTCCACTGCTAGTCACCATCCACCAATTAAATGCTCAACACCTATTGATTGATTGATTGCGAGGAGTAGCAAGCAACAGTACTTACCAGCCAGTCAGATCAAATTGATCTAAACGCCGGACGGTCATTTCACTTGTTTGGGACCGACCTCATCAACAGTGTATCCGGTTTGACTCAGGCCAGACAGCCGAATCAGTTCAAAACAACCTGATTTCTGGATAGCTACTTGTGTGAATCGGTAATTCCATAAATCAAATTATCAATCTTCTAATTACCATGCAATGTAGACATTTCGAGGTCGGACTCATTCATGCCTAGCTTTTTAATCACTGTTTATAGGGCGTCAAACAGATCACACACATTGTGATCTAAATAATTTTGATTGCCAACGGAAGCTGTGGTAAGAGTTTACCTCTTCGAACTGTGTAAACTGCCCATTAATCCGCCAAATGCAAATTTGATTTGTGTTTAACATTTATTGTACAAATATATGGTCAAAAATATGGTTAAAATATGTAGATGATAATTTTGTAGTACTAAAACGAGATCTACACAATTCATTCCCGGAGAAAATAAACGGTGTATCTCCCAGAATCCAGTTCACTTCAGAAGCAGAATCAGACATCGGTGAACTACCATTTCTAGACTGCCTGGTTAAGAGAAAGGAAAACGGACACTTTAGTATATCCATATTCAGGAAGAAAACCCACTCCAATAAATATTTAGACTTCAAATCATCACACCCCATCAGCGCAAAGATTTCAGTTGTTTCAAGTCTTCTTAGACGAGCACACTCTCTGATAACGGATGAGAAAGAAAAAGAAGAAGAATATCAAACATTACTGAAACTCTCAAGCAAAACAACTACCCAAGGGACTTCATCAACAAAATCAACACAGACATTAAGTATGGCCGAAAACGCATTCCGAAAACATGGACCTCGACAGTCGTCATTCCATATAGAGCAGAGACGTCAGATGATATCAGAAGAGTACTCAATCAGCTCGACATTAGAGTTTTCTTTAAAACATCAGACACACTACGAAACAACCTTGTCCATATAAAAGACCAAATCCCTAAAGATTCTCTATCTAATTGTGTCTATAAAATAAAATGCTTGGAATGTGATGCGATATACATCGGACAAACATCTCGAGAAATCAAAATCAGAAGAAATGAACACCGTAGAGCATCTGTTCGACCACCGAGAAATCCAATTGAACTGGAAAAACTTGAAAAATCATCAGCCATAGGTCTACATGCTATAGAATCAGGTCACAAAATTGATTTTGACAATATTGAAATAATCCAGAAAAACTTCAGAAATCATAAAGAACGTCTAATATCAGAAGCACTTCATATCAAGTGGAATCCAAATTGTCTGAATAGGAATGATGGACTAAAACAGAATCTGACCTGGTTACAACACCTCCCTCCCCCATGAAGTGACAAAATCAACACGAATGTGATATGCAAGTTCACTATGTAAACACACACTGCCTTTATAATTTTAAACACTGATCAAATCCAACAATCTACACTTGATTTTGTTATCTTTACCAAATGACCAACTTGACAACGAAAAATGACCCCAGACTAACGAACGATGATCAAGTTAGTAAACTTTATTTTGATACCATAACAGATGTACTATTACCTTTGTTATTTGGTTTAGTGATCTTCATTGGTATTTTAACTTTCAATATGTCCTTTTAACTTGACCTAAGTCTATTTTCTCACCCCTTAACTCTTTGTTATATATATGCTGAGATTTTGTAAATTCCGGTTTAATAATACTTTGATAAAGCTATTAGCACATTAAATAGCGAAACGTCAGTAAAACAACAATATCGTTTTGTTTTTCATTCATTGGGAAATACAAAAACCTTTATTATAATGAATATCATATACCCAATGCCCAAATTTTTCAAACTGTTAAAAGTGAACTTGGTTTGGACATATATAATTTATTGTACAAAGGCTAATAACTCCACTTTTTTATAATTTGAATCTCACTAAGCATAATTTTAAGTTAAAAATTCACAAATGCCTAGTTAAAAGTAAGGCTATTTTAAAGATCATTAACTGCTATATACATATACATATATATTTACAGATTTGTTTTCTATAGTTTTGTACTTAGTATTATTTTATTGTTGGTGTCAGGTGTAAGGCATTTCGTGAAATAATGTTTATCCCCTTGACTTTTTGATTCATTTATCTATTAGGATATTACAACTGAAGCAGCACTTGCTAAACTGGCGTATATACTAAGTAAAACAGAAAATGCAGATTATTCTACTAAGCGTAACATGCTATTATGTAGTCTAAGAGGTGAAGTGACTGTTGAAGGCGAAGATTCCAGAGCAGCTAACTTATCAATATACAGTGTGAATAGTCTAAATCAAGACAAAAATATCATGTTATATTTCGCTTCATTATTTTCATCTGCTGCATCCGCTGACTCTGAAGGCATTGGTGCAATGTGGATGCAACGAATTATTCCAGTGTTGGCGTGTTGTGCTGCTGCATCGAATAATGTAACGTGTTTAAAAGAAATGCAGCATATCATTGGTCATTTACAGGTAGGCATTATTACTATTGTTATTACTACTTTTTCTTAATGCATTGATTACGGTTAACGACAAAAAAACAAACAGAAAGTATTTGATTGTAGTATTTTATTCTCCGTGGTAGTAGTGATCTCTGCGGCTATTCTGTTAGATTTGATGACTAGAGTGTCATGGGAAACTCTACCTCCAGGAACACCTTTCTAATGGAAACCCGATTGCAAGCTTAAAATCCCATCGAAATATAGTTAGCAAATAAAATTGTAACATCATAATTGATAAATATAGCTTTATTCTGGACAAAATGTTTATACAATGTACAGAATTCCCTGCTGAATTTATGGCAGAATATTTTCCCTTCATCCAGAACCTCCAAGTAAAATAGAAGTCTATGTTATATATATCATGTGACATAGTGCTATTGAAGTCCCTATGACATTTTTCCTTCGTCTTTCACAGAAATGCTCGCTGGTAGGTTGAAAGCCAATTGAATATAAATGCGTGAGTACATTTTGCGATTCACTCAAAATAATTGAATGGTTATAACAATAAGAAATAGAGAAAGTATGATGTATTCTAGTATTAGTTTGTAGAGATTTGATTGACTGGGGAAGTACTGGACAGCTGTTTCGTCCTAGTTTGGGACTCTTCAGTAGTACGCACCCACCGGGGTTCGAACCCAGGACCATCTTTTGGAGGGAAATTCATAACACGCAGTAATTCACGCAGGCCGCTATGAAAATTACATATCTGTGTATCAGATGTATTGACTTACTGATTGCGATTTTTAATGACATGTACAGTGAATGATGATTAGTAGCGATGATTCCACACAACACATTATATATATATATATCCTTAATGTAGCATTGTTTGATCCACTCTGTATTTTATGATGTGTTGATAATACTACCGAAATGGTTAGAATTAACCAAATCTGATTCCTCTACTACATTGCTAAAAATTAAAAAAAAAATAACCAGTATCATCTCTCTCAATTCAACAGGTACAATCTGGTTTGAAACAAAATATCATCTTTGTGCTAAAACATATTAAGTAAGGTATCTCCTGTACATTTTGTGTCTGAATATAGGATGTTTCTTCGTCTCAACTAATTTACAGATCTTTGATAAAGACAGACATTATTTGTGTACGCAAAGTTTCTGAAAGTACACTGAGTTTTGACTGTAATTTAGTGTAAACTTCAACAACACAGTAGCAGTCGCAGGACAGCGTTCATGAGAATTAAGCAAACAAGTGCGCTGTTAACTTGCCATGCTTCTCCTGATGGCATTCGCAGTTAACAATCTTAGTTTAAAAATAATAAATTGGCTAAGGGCAACCCATTAAGCTCTTAAAACTATGTACTACTGATTGGTTGACATGAGTAGTTGCATACCACTAGCCGGAAATCGGGTGATTTGGAATGATTCGGGTCCCTGAGCTCAGTCATACAGGGCGCACTACTGATGAGCTCTGCCCCAAGCGAGTGGAATGGCCGTCCGGTGTTTGCATCACTTCGATCTGGCTAGTAAGTGCTACTGGTTGATGTGAGTATTATACATCTACTCATCTCAATCAATCAGTAGTATATCTTTTTGTAAGAATATGCCTACTTGCTTGATTACCATGATATACTGTGGTAAGAATAACTTGGTTTCAAAAGGAAACTATGGTGAAATTTCACCACTCAAACTGTGTAAACTGCAAGCTGCAAACCAATTATCAAATTATGACTTTGATTCACATTAAGAGCTGCTAGACTGGTTCCTGGAAAAGTGTCAAATACTGCCGTCATGTGCCGCATTGTATTGCTCTGATCGTCTTAAATTATTAGCTTATTTCTATAGGTTTAAAGGTTAAATAAGGGACGAATATTTTCTAATTTCACTTTAACTACTTGTAATCTACGAGTAGTATCATGCTGTAAACATAAAAATAGTGGGCTCATGTTTTCTTAAAAGATGGAGTCTCCTCTGTCTTTATCAAAGGAACTAACGGTTTTAAATTCATTTATGTTTCTTTTTTGTCAGACACGAGTAAAAATGTGAATGCTTAAATTTTTTTATCTAGTACTTACAGAATGTTTCCTTGATACTTTAAATCGCCTTAAAATACTGAATGAGTCAGTTAAGTAGAGAAAATTAGCTTTATTAATAAAGTCTATTTTGTTGATTGGACACTTGATAGCATGTAACTTATGTCATGAGTTTAGTCCTGAACCTGAATTCTGTCAGTCAAGTTTGCAATGCGGCCAACACTTTAGGCGGTTAGCAATCACAGCACACTCTGAATTATTGTTAGTTGACTAGAGGCTATCTACAGGAATCTTCCCATCTAGATTTCTTGCTTGTTGGCACTTATCAGCTTGGTGAAATTGGGGATTGAACAATAATTATAGTAGCTAGTGGCTACCTTTCGTTGTCATCCTGATAGCCATGTTGATTAGTGTTCTGAGATGCATTTAGAAAGTGTACAACGTAGAGTTGCACAAGCGGAAACTTTTTTCCCGATCAAACTATGAAGTATCGAAATTTTGCCTCAGTGCTGTCAGGATTCTTTCAAACTCTCGCTTCAATCTCATGTTTTTACAGATAATAATAATAATAATAATAATAATAAAAGTAACTGTAAGACGAATATAAATTGTACTCAAAAAGAACTTGACTTATCGACGCCTTCTTATCATAACCAAATAAAAACGGATGAGAATTAGGTAAATTTTTGATTATTTTCTGTTATTTTTATAATCAGTGTTCTTCAATGAGAATCCTCCTTGACAAATAGTTAGGGTTGAATCCTACACACTTTTCAGTCACTGAGTCACACTGTACTTTACATTCATCCAAGTGATCATGATGCTGTATGCGAAAGAAACTGATTGGATTTGCAAACATTTCTTTATTATGCCATGTTTCAAATCTCTACCTTTTTTCATTTTCCTCCATTCACTTTTTATGATCTGTAAGCCAATGCCATATTACAGAAGATGATAATAAAAACAGAAGTCGAGACGAATGGGGTCTACCAGGTCTGGTGTGAGGATAAATACTCACTGAGGACAGTGGCTGCCGGCGATCGCGCTAAAGTTGAGAACAGACAGGCGATAGAATTTAAGCGTCACTGAATTTCAGCCCAAGTGGGTGAGCTTGGCTTCACAGCCTGAAAGTCCTGAATGAGATTTCTGGTGGGGTTGTAGGTGTGTACTGGTGAAGGACAATTAACAACTGTCCAGTACTCCCTGGCGGTTTTCAATGGTTATTCTCTAACTGATATCAATCAGTGGTCAAACCTAAAACCAATCAAATCGCTACAAACAAACTCTAGTAAATATATATTATGTTATAAATGTATGCGGATTATTGTAATAATAATAATAATAATAGAAAATTAATTTCTCTTTCTTTCCTCCTATAGTTATTCGACACTGAAGGCTCTACACCATTACATAAATCTGCATTCTATGGTCATGTTTCAGCGACGAAATATCTATTAGAATGTGGAGTCTCTGTTCATATATCCGATAAATGTGGATACACGCCATTGGATTATGCTTTGACTAGTTTGGCTTTATCTGAAGAAGTAGTACATTTGTTATTAAATTCTGGTGCTATTTTAAATTCTGAAAGTCATCTAGTAATTAAATCAGTTCATCAAGCAGTTGCACAAGATGATGTTCGACGACTACGGTTGTATTTATTGTGTGGATATCAATTTGATGTAAGTTTTCTGCCGAAAAAATATATATACTGTAAATGCTTACAAGTTGTCCTGTTATTATTATTATTGTTTCCTTTAATTCCTAGAGGAACATAGGGCTTCAGCCGTGCGTCTCCATTGCGTTCGGTTCTCTGCTACAGTCTTCACCTGGCTCCAAGTCTGCCCACACGTTTTCATCTCCTCTTCACATGACCTCCTCCAAGTCACCCTTGCACTGACGACCAACTCGCCGCTTCCATTTCGGGTTCCACTCGAGCAATGGCTTGTCTAGTGATGTCACTTGATGGTTTGTTTTCTCAGAGTATGGCCAGCCAATCCATCTCCATTTCTTCCTGCCTATTTGTTTCACAATCGGTTCCTGCTGTGTTGGTTCGCTCATTGCCAGAGATCTCTGTTGCTGATCTTTTCTGGCCGGCCATCTGATCTTGAGTATTGAGCGAAGACAACTGTTAATGAAGGTCTGTAGTTTGTTTGAGATGCTCTTTATGACGCGCAGTGCAAGTCTCTGACCTCCGTATAGTAGCACTGACTGACTTCACATTGGAGTTGAAAATCCGGATCTTATTTGATTTTGATGCTGAGTGCTGTTGACCTCCACACAGACTTGAGAGTAGTGAAAGCTTGTCTTGCTTTCCCGATCCTTGCTTTGATATCCTCGTCAGTTCCGCCTGTAGTTGAAACGATGCTTCCCAGTTAGGTAGGTAAAAGAGGTTGTTTCTTTCAGGTTCCTTCCATTTATGCTGGTTGTTGTTGCTGCTGTTGATGGTGTTGACCAGGAATCTTCATCACCTCTGTTTTCTCTATGTTCACCTGAAGTCCTATCTTCTCCGGATGCTTCTTCTGCCAACTTGTTGCTTTTCGCTTGCATATCTTCCAGTTTGTGGGAAATCAGACATATATCATCGGCGAAGTCCAGATCCTCCAAGTTTTTTGTGTGAGTCCATTTTATGCCTGTTTCCTCATTGCCCGCTGTTTGTCGTATTATCCAGTCTACTGCAATCAGGAAAATCATTGGCGATAGTAGGCAGCCTTGTTTTACTCCTGTCCTCACTTCGAAGGATTATTATTATTATGAGTAGTCAAAATAATTTTTTTATATAATTCATTTTGAACTGAAGTGTTCGACGTCAGGTTGACATGTCGGCTCCTTGTACAGATGCATCGACGAGTTCTGATTATTAATGAACTTGAAGTGCTGGGTTCTAGCCTCATTGGAAATACTATCACTCATTAAGGAATGCAAGTACATCCAGTTGATGTGTCCCAAATAGGACGAAATGCGTATCCTGGATTCTGCTGCTAACCACCATCTACCAATTTATTTCAAAATAATTTTATTTCTAAATACATAAATTATATATCTATATATATACATTTGTTAATGAAATGGCATAGTAGTGTTGAATACTGTTCACTGCTTAGCATATATTTAATAGCCTGCTTAAAGCATTGGGCTACTTAATTTTTCAGCCATCAAGATGTATCTCATTTAGGCTATTTCACGTTGATTTAAATATCCAGTTGCATCTCTGAATTGCAATTTGTACTCATGATTTTTATCGAATAGGATTAAACCTACAGCCTAGAGTGGGTTTATAACAAAGATGGTTATTGTAGCGTCGCAATGTTCACTTAATGACATATTTAGACATATATTTTATATTAAGTTATGAATTGGCAGAGTTTTCGAGTCATTTATTTGGACAGCTTCAGAGTTCTTGTTATTCTTTGACAGTAAATATCGCTACATAGTCATTTCTAGGCTTCAGGCTTCAATATGAAGTATATAAAAAAATAATTTTATGCTGTTATATGCGGTCTATTTTTATCAGGAATTCTTCGCTTTTACCTGTTTCCAAGTGGTACTTACTCAAATGTGGGGGTTATTTAGGCTATGGGTTTTTCGAAGATTAATGAGAGAGAAAGGGAAGAAGTATGGTAGCTAAATACAGCGTGCTGTGGATAGAAGAATACTGCTTGAGATGATATATTACCGATTATTAATTTTACATATGGAGTAAATACTTTGCAGTAAAACATGCTAAGAATTCTGCATTTTTCAGAATGAAGCCATTATTATTATTAATTAACCTTATATAAGCACAGTCCTTATATAAGCACGAATCGGTAGTAGCTGGAATTCATAGACGATTGGGTTGGGTCCCAGTGGCTCATTGGTCTACGAGTTTGGCTCGAAACTGGAAAGTTTGGGGTCCGAACCCTAGTGGGTGAGTATTGCTGAAGAGTCCCAGACTAGAACGAAACAGCTGTTCAGTATTCCCAGGTTTTCCAATTGTTCTCTAACTGATGTCAGCTCATGATGAAATCCTGTAACTAATCCAATCATTGCAAACCAACATGTACCAAGCCTAACTTTATTAAAAACATCTAAATATATATATATATATATATACATACTTTAAGTATATAGATCGGCTTTTACTTCATTCATGTTTGCTTCATCAGTTACTATGACTATTCAATCTTTTGTTAATACGGTTCGGATGGGGGGAAGGGCGGCAATAAAGATCAAATAACACTCGAAAAATCAATTTCAAACCTACTCACTAGTTAGAAAAAAAGGAGACTTTTCTAATTGTAAGATTAGCTTTTGTTTCTCTATATGACATAAATTTTATACCTTTCAAATCGGCTGACAAATCACGCATTTTCAAAGATACTTTCATTAAAAACAAACATCACAGGTAATCAAAAGGTGTATGCAGTGTAGCAGAAACAATAAACTATTTATACTCAGTGATTAAACGGTAAGAAATTAGAAGGAAAAAAGTAACTTAATTACCACAAAGGGTTTCAGCATCACTTAAATAGCACATAGGATACCTGTGTGCTTCAGTATTTGGTAGTATGTTGACGAATTTAGACAAAAACTGCAAGTATTTAGAATTTTTTTGAAACATTTAAGTGAAATCGATACCCTTATCTTTTCCTCCGCTTATTAAGTTATATGTGGGAATTTTAGCTACTAGAAAAGCCTGTTGGTTATCGCCGACCATGAGACATCAGTTCACGTCGTCAAATCACCTATCTTAGTGAGCATCTGACGAACCTGACTGATAGGATTCAAGTGTTGGTTTGTAGGGATTTGATTGGCTACTGGTTTGACCACGTGCTAACATCAACTGGCGTACTGGACAACTGTTTCGACCTATTTTGCGACGACTGGCTCTATACTGGAAGGTCCTAAGTTCTCCTGAGAAGTTGGAATTCATGGGCTATTTATGCATTCCGTCCCAGTGGTTGAGTGGTTATGAGCTCACCTTGCAATCGGAAGCTCGTAGGTTCTAACCCTAGTGGGTGTATACTGATGAGGAGTTCGAAACTAGGATAGGACAGCTATGCAGTACTCCCTGGTTTTCCAATGGATTTTTTCTCAGCATTAACACTAAGGATTGGATGGATGACATTTATTACTTCCTAATGAACTATCAGAGTAGTTAGTAGTTAGATCTTTGTATAGTTTAGAAAGTTCATCAAAGCATCCTCAGGGATTTTTTCCACCACATGTACTGTCATCTTCGAAAAGAAGCATTTATTTTTTACACTCAATCATTTTATTATTATTCCCTTGGGTCCGTTATGGAACATAGGGCTTCAACAACACATCTCCACTTTGTTCTACTCTTTGCTGTTCTCTTCAACTGGGTCCACGATTGCCCATAATCTCTCATTTCCTCCTCCTCGTCGCCACACGATCTCCATCTCCATTTTATCCCACGAAGAATCGGTTCTCGTAGTTTGTTCCCCACCAGAGTTTCTTGTTGCGAATTCTTCCTGGCCGGCTGGCCGGCCATTTGATCTTCAGTATTCAGCCAGCCAGAGAAGGAGGCAGCTGTTGATAAAAGACTGTAACTTGTTGGAAATCCTTTGCGTGACGTGCAGTGTAAGTTTCTGACCCGTATAGAAGAAATGACTGACTGACTTAACATTTGTGTTGAACAGAATCCGAATCTTGTTCTTTATGCTGAGTTAGTGCAGAAGATTTCCAAACTGGTTTCAGGTTGATGAAGGCGTATCTTGCCTTACATTCAAGATATATAATAATTCGTTCTTTAGTAATAATTATTGCCTATATTGTTCTCTACGTCGGACTAAAGTTATGAAAACAAATATAATCATGAAGTGGATAACCTAGTCGCAAGTTGATTCCTTCACTAATCAACGTTAACCAAAAACACCTAATGTTACCCAAAGGTTCTTGAATATCCACTTATTCCTAAGAAATATTCGACAATGTTTGTAACACTTTGATTAAGTAATCATGTAATTCATCAATAAGACTTTGCGTCGGTGGCACAGCGGTTATGACTCTCGCTGATCATGCACATGGTTAGGGTTTCGATCCCCTGGAGACACACACCTGATATCTATGGTCGGCCTGCAAAATTTGGGCTACCGATATCACATGCTGAAAATTCCATACCTGTACCAAAAAATACGGTGTGGAATCAAGCTGTAATCAAAAATAAAAATAAAATAAATAATAAAATGTCTGTGATCAAATACCAAAGTTCAGAAGGTGTCACTGACCCAGTGGAAAACGCTTTGTAATCTGAAATGAGTGGGTACTAACTAGGTTTGAGTCTCAGTGGGGGCCTTATCCATCAATTACTGGGGTGGCAGATAGTTCCAGGTAATGATTCCTAAATAGAACAAAATGGACATCTTGAATTCCAATGCCAGAGACAATCAGCCGAATGACACTAGTTTTGAACTCTTAGGTTGTGTGTTTTCTTGATCAAATGAGGAGGTAAGTTTAGCTCTACCAGAAATATAAGGTGAATACACTTCTAAACAGTTAAACATCCACTTATTTTTGGTACTATCCTCTTGATATAATGCTTACAGTGAAATCGAAGCGAAGAAAGTTGAATGCTGAAGGGTATTAAATTCTTAATCCATTATTTCATAAACCATTCAATTCAAAATATAAGTTTAAGCCAATAGGCTACCAAAACACCTTAAAACTAAAGTGCATA